TTGGTGTAGCAGACCTTGGCCGCCGTGAGGGCGGGTGGGAACGCGACGAAGATGCGTCTGCTGTGGTTCCCAGGTGTAGACGCTGATGGTGATAGCGAATTTGGCTCGCCAAAGAGACAAAGTCTGTCTATCGGCAGCAAGTGGATATTTCGCAGTGGTTGACGGGTTTCAACCCAAATATACACTTACAATTTCGGTCTACGCCTATAGACATTAAATATACTGCTACATACCGCAAACAGAAATTAATTTCTCAAGAGATTAAAAAGCTGAACTTTCAAAACCGGTATGCCAACCAGAAAACAGACAGGGAAAGCTGGGGGACCTACTGATGAGCCGGACCCCTCGCAGCTTTGTCAAGCAGCGGCAGAATACCGGCGAAACACGTGTATGGGTCTTTTAGCTAGTACCTAGGCTATAAGTTACAGCAAATGATGTTACCTACCGTACCCACAGTATCCACTAATTAGGAACTCCCACAATCATTCTATCACCTATATCCCTGATGGGATTCCAGTGCTTGTTTACCTTGCCAATAGCTTGTCGTCACCTGAATATCACACTAACCTGTCCAAGGTGTCTATTAAGCAAACTTTCCGCCCAAATTATCTACTCGTACTTGCTTCGTTTAACCCCGACTTGCAACCCATGGTAGGTATATGTGGCTCCATTGCGGTAGGACTTAAGCTTGGAAAGATATTTTAACACACTGTCGAATTTATACTCTACCAATTGCCTAAACGTTATAATCGGCGACAGAACTTTAATGGAATGAGGCCTTTTATCATTGATGGAAGCAGAACGATCTACCGTTGCTTTGCATTTGTAGGATTGTGGTATTAATTATTGTGGCCCTTATTCTAATCCAGATTAACATTTTTAGTAGTTTTACATAGCACTTAATGAGTAGGAACGCCCACTTTTTACACGGAATCTAAAGATGGCGATTTTCAAAATAGGTTTCATCCCCACGTTCTTTTAACAAAACTCTTCTAGGCTTCACGACCAGCCTCGTCATCATACGCCCCGTCTCCTAGGCGCGGTATTACTTCCCGACCTCCTCTGGCGCCCAAGATCAAGGACAGCCTGATCCAGCTTGTCAGAGCCTTTGACAAGGCGCTGAACATTCGAGTGAAGCAAATGTCTGCTATCACTGGTGTTGCTGTAACTCGGTACCGAAAAAAACTCGAGTTATCCAATTTGAGGCTACAGTATGAAGTTTTGCGTGGTTGTGGTGACGTTAAGGTAACCTTCTATGAACACTTTATTTTGCAGACCTTCAGCTTGTCTACTTTTTGTTCAATTTAAATGTATAAACCGGATGGTAAGTTTATGTATACTCGTCAGTTGAGTTCATAAATTGCACTCTACATTACTTTTTGTAAGGCATCAGATTTTCATGGTAAAATCCTTAGGTACTTTCCTCGTTTTACGACAGTCCAATAGTTCAACGTAGAAAAATACTTTTGATGTAGGCTTAGATCTTACGATAGGAAATATGCGCATTCAACTGCCAAACTCAGAACCCAAGTACGATGCTTTTCCTGTCCTTTTATGCTTTTTCTTGAAGTCAGTTTATGTCAATTTTTTAGTAGTTGTAATGAGCATTTTACCAGCAGCGCGTGTTGAGCACACTACCCAAGCTGTCAGTTGGGTGGAACATTAAATAAATAACACATTCCATGGCTATAGTAGGAACTTGTTGTCAATATGAAACCTCGAAGTTGTGTCGTATGTAGGTATTTTCACAGCCGTCAATCACGGGGCTGAGAACTGTGTCTGTCCGTTGAAAAAGGGCTAGTGCATGGAAAGCAGATTAGACCCTTTTGGACACCAGCGCTGGCAGTGGATAACTTAATAGTTTACCCCGATGTCTTTCTGGATGGCTTGTTACGCTGTGTTTAGCAAGTCCCGATGCGTTCGAGAGCACGGTATAATCCTTTCTGTCAGCACAGCCTTCGACAGAGCTAAACTCCTGCAGGAATACTGAACAGATAGGTATAACTTCTTGTGCCACCGATGGCGGCAACGCCTCAGTTCCAAAGCCATCCATCATGGGCGTGTCCGATTTGTTAGAGGTTCGATTGCTAGCGTTTTATACGTGGTTTGCAATGACTACTTGTTAGACGCTTTTAGCTTATATCTAGTCCGGACTTGCGTGCAAATGCTTTAGGTAAATATTCCGGCCCTTGATGTAAATTTTCCCCAAAAAGAGCGTATTCAACTCCGGTCACAAAGGTCAAGTGGTGAAGATTTACTGAACGAGTAAGTGCTGTTCCCTTGCCGACTGCGACAGACTGTTTGGGCGCACTTAACCAGTGCCTTCTTTGTAACTATTTTTGGGTATGAACGCGATCGATATCGCAATTACGGCTTTGGATACCTATGAGAAACTCGCTGAAAACGTGGTAGGCCATCGAGTCGTTTTTTTTCTGTTGTGGATTTTTTGATCTGTTGTTACGTTACCGACGCAGCATAATTTGGTAAGGAATGCAAATTGTTGATGGCTGGTGTCAAACGCCTCACGTCCTAAATTTTATTTCTAATTGCGCCCGTATGCCCTATTTGAATAATGTGATAACGCACGGCTTCCAATGCCATGAACTTTCCGTTCGATTTCTGCCATAGCTCAAATGCAACGCCATGTATACTGAAATCTTCTTTGACAGTAGATGATGTCCGATCCGTCGATGCAAACAACCGGGCCCCTGACAACAGGCGCGTGCAATCAAAATAATTTCCTTTAGACGTGCTTACCTACTGGCAGGCACTGCGTATTTCCTCCGTTTGTTTAAGGACATATGTTCGCACGCTTGACACTTCCCACTAATGACATGTCGTATGCTATGGATTCTAAAGACGCTTTAGCACAATCTTGTTCCAAACGTTATAGACTGATGTTAATTATAAAGTGGATGATATACGGATGCGTTTATTGCGACATCTGAAGACAAGTAACTGCATCACGCTTATTTGTGGCCGTCAGACATCCTGTTTCGTCCTCTACATGAGTGAATTATCAGAACTATATTCGAGGCGCCATCTTTAATGACCTTGTAAAATATCCGGCCGTTACCCCTCGATTATACCCATTATCTTTTGTATCCTTCCAATGTAGCCGAATCTTCGGTTACCCTTAAAAGGTCTAAAACTTGTGATAAATACGCTAATAGTTTGAGCCGCAGAACAAACTGGAAGGTCTTGCGTTTGATGTCGATAAGACGAGTATGTTTGGTGATGATCTGATCCACTTGCTATTCCTAAACCGTTATTGACGGTGTTTCGTTATTAACTATAACCAGCCGTCATATCTGTCTTATCCTGATTTTTCAGGCCTTTCCCATGGTAAACAGACTGAGAGCTCTGGAGAAAGAGGTGGAGGATGCAGATTCTGAGATCTCAACCTTAGCTTCCGCCTTAAGGAGGTCCGGTGCCTCTATTCAAGACTTGCAAGAAAAAGTTGCTCGTATTGTGCTCTCTTTTCCCCCTTGCTGGCGTCATATTCCACAGGTATGCTACACACACTGAATCAGGTCTTGTCTTTTAATGCCACTAACTTTTTTTTTAAGTTTGCCCGAGAATCAGGTTAGACATGTTAAATGTTACGCATTTTTCATTCACTCATCCAATGACTGCCAATCTAGAAAATGCAAAGTTAGTCAGCCTCAAAATAAACAATTATATGTCTACTGGTCTGGCCGCTGCTGAAGAATGGTCCTATTCTCTTCTAGAGCCAGCAATGGCTAGCGATTTTGTCGTGTCTTTAGTCGTCAAAATTTCTGTCAAATCTCTACTTAAGGTTACGTTATCCGGTCGTGCTTTAAGGTGTTTTTACCGTTGTAACACTTCATATATATATATATATATATATATATATATAT